CTCTAATTGGATTAAGCGCGTCATTTTTTTTAAACAATTATTGTTTAAAATTTTATAATTCACCTTAAGAAGTAATAACAGAATTTAGTCAAGGATATGTCCTCTTGGAAGGACATGAATCCGAGACAGATCAACATGGATTCTTTTTCTAGATAGATTATTGTCCAAATAATTTAACATGAATCCATTTCTGTAAAATGGGCATGCTGTCTCCTTATGTGTTGCAATATTTAATTAATGATTATGTGCTTTTGCATAATGTGTGTTCATATATTAATAGGTTAATAATGCACATTCTCAGTGTACTTTAATAAAGGATATTGGGAGCTAATTAAAAGGAATGTAATTTGTGCTTTTGGGAGGAAACGTGTTATCTAAGTGTAAATTAGGGAGGGAAGTGGCAGTTAATTCTATACAACGTATCTATTACCACACATTCGAGGCTTAACTCTAATTACAGATTGGACATGTGAGCAAACAGCATCTGGGAGACTTCTATTCATTTCAGAAGGCCCTTCTTCACTTTTGTTACAGAAGGCTATTCTTTTAATAACCAAGATTATTAATAAGCCACTTTCTGCCCAGAACAAAAGGTTAGAGGGAAAAGACCTCTTTCAAAGTCAGCATATTGACAGTATTTATTGTTCTCTTTTGTAGACACTATCTGCCCAACAAGTGTCATGAGAAAGGAGTTTATTATTCAGTCCCTTAGATAGAATAAAGCGTTTTTGTGGCTTGATAACTCTACCCGGAAGAAAGGGCATTTACACCTGATGGAAGAGGAAAATTCTGCAGACAGATTTGTGCCTGTCTTCAAACCTTTCACCATCTGAATAACCCCTGAGGTTAAATAGCTGGTAGACATCTGTAGGCAGAAGTAAGAGAAATGAGATCATCAAGGAACGGTGTCGTGCTTACAACATGTGGCGAAATGAGGGCTCTTCACCATCTGTTATTTGTGTGTGTATTTTATTATGTAAATATTCGTACACACTGCATTCTAAACAAAGGAACATTACTTCCACTTTGTTGGTGCTGCCAAGCTTGCGTATGTGTCCTGGAAAAAGAAAGTGGCAGACAGAAAACTCAGGGTTCATCTCGCCACTTGTGTCCCCACTCCTTTCACCAAGAGGGTGAGAGACTCTAAGTAGGTTTGATTCCTTTTCGACATCCTGTTCACAAATACAAAGCTCGACTGTGAATGGAAAACAATGTCCTAAATACTACAGTTATGGTCTAAAGCTGCTTGTGCTGGCGTCCACGGGAAAAAGATACTGGAAGCTAGGATGCCCTGGGATGGTTCCAATGTACACTTGTGATAAATCCAAGCTCGAAAATACATTTGGGCGGAGGAAATAGGCTCTGTTCAGTTTTCTCTCATCTGTTTAATTCCTGGCACACAGCTCTGGGTCATGGGAAGGTTCTGGTGGGCTACTGTCATTGTCTCCCCAAAAACAAGAGGGGTGTGTGTGTGCATGTTTGGGAGGAATGAAAGTGAGGAGATTTGGGCGACACATATTCTGGTTTAAATTTTCATAAAATTACCAATTTAAATTGAAATGTAATTATCCTAACTGGCATCTTTTTGGCAGCAGCTTAAAAAAAAAAAATCCCTCGGCTTTACTGTACCAAGCAAAAGCCCAGAGGAGTCCTGACACTGGCCTTTAATCAAAAGCTGAAAAGACACAAAAGCTTTCAGATAATCTATGCCAAGCTATCTTGGACAGCACGGAATTGCCTGGAGCACCCTTCTGGTGGCATTTGAAACACCTGGCGCCCTTAGAAAAAAAATACATCTGCGTCTGCAGTTTCTCCTTCTGTAATTCCCTTCAATCTCTCTATCTCAACTCATTCTCCTATCTTTAAATGGAGGGATGCTGCAGTGACAGTAAAATGAAGCAATTTTATTTACCCAGAGAATGATACTTGTCATTGGCTGTGCCTGGAGGTGACAGACTCAGGTGCCCATCTGCACAAACACTTCCTCGCTGTTTATTTCATGTGGATTAATATAATTACACTATCATTGTGCTCACTGATTCAGCTCAAATTTTAATTTGATAATTGGGGGAAAGGTGTGCATTTGAAATGGAGGCAATTAATTGGCACTTTAAATGCACTTGAACAGAAATAATTTAAGTTACATCATACTTAGTGGTGACTTACACTGTTGTGTTTGTGCAGATTCTTTTATTTCACTTCTATCATTAATAGACAGAGATAAATCACCTTACTCAGCCTCAGACCTTTTGATACCGGCAGTCTAATTCTGCAGTCTGAAAATATTTTCACTGCCCCAAACAATTCCATTCATTTCATAGTCACTGGCTTTTTGAAAATAAAGACATTCTGACTTTGAGCAACAATCGAATCATTCATAACTAGTCTCACATATATGCAACATAATTATGCAGATTATCACATAGTTTTGTCAATAGACAGCGTGATTCTCATTCTAACAAACATCTTGCACAAAGAAATAATGAGAATAACAAAGACACAGTTTCTCAATTATAATACCCATCGTTCCCAGGATTTGGGAAGAAAAAGAGCTAGTTCAATACTTAATTTTTCTCTCATACCATTTTTGCTTTGATTTGTTCCAAGGGAATTTATATATTTTGGTGAACTTACTGAAACTTAAGAAGGAAACATATTTATGGATAAAGCACATTTTTTTTGTGTTAATGATCTTCCATCTGGAAACAAATATGCTTTCATATTTTTTAAGGATTTAAGAACAAAAGCTAGTTTCTTTTAGCTACTTGCAAAATCTGCTTTCTTTCTTTTTTTTTTTTTAAACTGGAGCTCTTTTATTCACAGAGCCTGAAATAAATACTTTTAATCAAAACCGAAGCAAATGCAATTTTACAAAATGATAACTACCACAAATTATACCTGTAGTAAATAAGGTTACTTAACAAGAATTATTAGTTGTTTGTATAGGAGCCCTGAGAGGGCTTCTTCTGAATATAAAATCTTGGAGGAACTGCTCTGCCTTTTAGATGAAAGCTTATGCTCCCGCTTCAATCTATTATTCAAAATTTTTAATATTCAGTGTAACCATGGATGAACCTAGAAAAGTTCTGGCAGGTCATTTCAGTTAAGAAACCACACTCTTTTTATTGAAGCTGGAAACTTCATTAAAAAAGGCTCTGTGAAGATTTTGTAAACTCCAGCTTCAAATCAAGGTTGGCAATAATGCTCCAAAAATCTTTTCATATAAATGTGGTTCTTTTGGCACTTTTAAGTTTCTGAAAGTAAGAAGTGCTAAAGAGCCAAAAAGCACGAAGCAAAGAAAACAAACAAAAGAACACACAAAATGCACACACATAACACACACGCTCACATTCATAAATGCGGTAACTCGTAGACAAATCTATTTCTCCTTTTTTTTTCCTATTATCTACTTTTAAGCAAAGTCTGAAAAAACATCTTTCCTAAATCAGTTAATGTAATAAAAATAAAGAAAAGCATAATCCTAAATATAACCTTTAACCATACTTAAAAGGAGCCCTTGGTCACCAAGAAGAATTGAAGTCTTCTGAAAGATGAGAGAATTTTCAAGTTAGAAGGGGAACTGATAGACCACCTGATCTGATAACTCAGCAGCAGCAAAACGGACGGTGGGCCAGAGAGGAACAACTATGTAAACTCCAACATCTCGCCAGGGGCAGGGGCCAGGATCATAAAGCAGATCTGTGGGCTCTCAGCTGAACACTAGTTCTATATGGTATTGTCTGTTATTTCACCCCTGGATGAAGTGTCCATTTGACAAAAAACATCTGACATCTAGACTAGTAAATCTATTCATGATTAGAACAATTTTGTTTTGTTTTATTTTTTTACTTTTGTTTTTGTTTTGCAGAAAAGCCAAATTTTACAAACTTAGGGTCTAACATATCCTCATTTTTATCAGCTCCTTAAACATAAAGAACGTAGATACATTGCTGTTAATATTCTTCAAAATTTGAACTCATCAGTAATCTATTTTTTAAATCTATGTTGTTTGTTAATTAATTCACAGAAAGAGCCTTCTCTTTATCTCCAGCATTTTCTTCCCAGTATTGAGAACATTTTTTTGAAAACTTTTTAATCACATAGAAATACAATTTAGGCAAGTGAAGATATTAACCCTTAACTCACAAATAACAGCTAGTTCATAGGTAACTTTTCTTTGGTTCAGTCTCAGTGTCTCATGAAAATAATTCTTCTTTTGCAAAATAGAGGATCAGTTTAAGTGACCAACATATTTTGCTGATGATTATTTAAATGGGGCAAAGGCCATCTCTCATGAAAGAAACCCTTCCTTAATTTGATTTTAGGTCAGCTCAACAAAGTTAGTATTTGGGTTTATAAGAAAAAAGAATATGATGGAATTATTCATTTCAAACCAGTTGAGCAATTCATATACATACCCAAAACCTGCTGCAACATTCAAGAAAGGTACAATATAGAAATAAAAGTAGTTATATGTGTCGTAATAGTAACAACAGGTGTTAAACTTTTTTATCTGTGGAATAATTGAATGTGTTTTGCATTTTCAATTTTTTTTCCCTCAGACTAAATAGCAAGATAAATTATGTGAAGAATGTAGTTTCTGGTTCTGCTAAATAAACACTTTCTGGGACCACTAATTGCCAGGAACAGTACCAGATGAATAAAACACAGCGAGTTTATTGAGAAGCTAAAAACCTACAGTCATAAACATGCTTGGGATGGAAAGCTAAGAGCTGGGTTCCTCATACTGTACGGGGATAATTGAGTAAGATGCTTTTGAGCTATGAGGATATTTGGAAATGAGCAAGGAGTAGGTAGAAATGGCTTAATATAAATTTGGTACCTGGAATAAGACATTAAGATACTGAACAATTTACATATTACTAGTTGATATCAGTAATAATTTAAGAAAATATTTGGAATGGCTTTTTTCTAAAATTGGAACACACGATGGTTTCTCAGAAATCCTAGGCTTATTTACAAAATTATTTCTTCCACTTAGAAAAAAATAAAGTAAAAGGAAACTGATATACTCAGCAAATCGTGATTTCAATTTTCAGTGTTGGAATAACCCGAAGGTAAGATGGAACAACTCATTGTGGCCACTAAAAGATAATTGGCGATCATGTAAACATTCCCCTAATTTTCAAACCCTTGACTTTTAAACAACAGCTTTTACTTAGTTTTCCTCTCTTCTCCTCTCTCTGCATATTACCGTTGGCCTGCTGTTTTACAGGCTTTCCAAGTGTTCAGGAAGTTTGGCTGAGTTAGCAGTTTTGTTTTAATATATTCCTGGAAATTTTATCTCCAGCAGTTCTGTGTGCTTTCAGCAAGTGGCTAAAATGGATGCAAGTTTTCTTAGTCTGATGAGGTCATGACTATTAACACCATCGGTTGCAAGAAAAGTCAAGCAGCAGCAGGTCGAGATGGTGCACAAGGAATGGCGTGTGTCAACTTGCCATCTTCCCCCAACTCTTTTGCATTAGCTTCATTGTAATAAAATCAGAGGGAAGATCCTGGGGCACCGAAGCTACCCAAGCCACTTTTGAAAGCCTTAATAATTGCACTGACAACTTAGAGGCCTATTAAACCAAGACAGGCAATGCCTGCTTGACTCCTTTTCTAGAGGAGTGCCGGGGGCAAGGACCGATACTCTGGAAGGCATCACAATGTGAGCAGTGAAACTCCTCTGACCAAGTGTTTGTCCACTGACCAGCATTTCTGTGGTTATCAGAATACGTTTATGTGCCGTCTCAAGGAGAGCTTATCAAAATGAGCACAAGGGTAGCACTCAGTCTGCAGGCTGCAAACTACACTGAGGTATGGTGCGGGCTTCACTCTAACTTCCGCGCTCAGTATCCAGTTCAGAGCTGATGTGACTTGTTGTGACACCGAAAGCAACGAGAGCCATCTTGCCTCAGAGTCCTCACAAGAAACCGCTAGGACAGTTTCCTGATGGGCGAGGTCAGCCCTCGCCGAGGAATCGGCATTCCTGTCCTCCAGTTTCCCTGTCTAGGTCCACCTTCAGTAGGGCAGCAGCCTCTGCCTGCTGGAATTTGCCTTTGTTTTCCAGGTGGGAAAGATACGGCCTTGGCCACATCATTAGAAGAAAGGCACCCAAAGTTTCCACTGAAGTTAAGAGTCTGAAAAGCTGAAACCGACCTGCAATTTAAATTTTATTCCCAAAGAGTTTAGATTTAGTATGTTTTGTTTTAGACTGAGAGGCAGAGGCAGATGAAAGCTATTGTTCTATGTGTTAATAAGGGGAAGAATGGGTTTTCTGTAGTTAATAGCACTCCTCTGAATCACTGCCTTATTTACAGTGGAGGAACGTCGTAGATATCATATTTCATCAGCAATGATGGCTTGAATATGTTCCGTGAATAATTACAGTATCTTTTCATCTCCCTTTTGTTATAGGAAACCTTTATAGTAAAGGCTTTTAAATATGCAATGAGAATGTGTAATCCAAGTATCAAGTCTAACGAGAAATTGTTTTGGCAAGTTCAGAACCCTCTCAAAATTCATGGATTTGGAGTTTCATATCTAATTGGAAGCTTTTAATGTTGGAATAGATTTGCTCTTACGAAAATAGCATAAAGCTTTTAAGCAGGGGATGGGGGAGCCCTTTAAGAAATGCTCAGCAAGATTCTGTGACATTCAAATTATGTTTATTTAAAAACAGAAACTCCTGTGTTCTGGTGTCTTACCATAGAGACTCAAAAATAGGAATTATTTACACAGTTACAAGAGTTACAAGGCTTTGAAAAATTGCTTGTGCAAAAGGCTTTGTGAATTGCTATTGAGCCAAATCATTGAAAAATACCTTGAGAGCGTCAGGGATGGAATAGGGGATTCTGGTCAACATGTTGCTGTTTGCTAGAAAGTTTCTCACGAGAGTGCGTGGCAGCTGTACGAAGACCTAATTCAGGTTTTTACTCTCCTAACTAGACTGTCCTGAGATCATTGACTGCTGCATTCCTAGGTTTTCCAGTGCAGAGAACCACCTTCTCCCCTTTTTTGAAATTTTTTTCTTATCCTCACTTTTGAACTTTCATCTGTACCACAAGGTAGATACATTGGTCATGCTAAGTGGCCAAACAAGCGAACAAAGAAACAAACAAACAAAACCCCTAGAACATCTACCCTTCCTTGTCTCCTTCCAGTCTCTCTATGTTCAGTGTAACCCATGTGGTTTAACCTTAGTGACAATGTTATGTATATCGAGTAGGAAGAATTCTTCCTAAACTTTAAGCTTAGAAGGAAGTTGTTAACGTAAAGCATCATAATAAACAGATAAACCTAGCTCAAGAAACATTACTTCATGTCAGGAACAAGCAAAAAAAAAAAATCTTTGGCAGCATTTACCAAATTGGGTTTTTGGAAAAATAGTTCTCAAAGATGGAAAGAATTACAAAGAATGTCTGGAGTGGAGTGGCTCCCTGGTTGTACAAACATAAACTTGATGCCCATTTTGGAGCTTCATGTTTTAATTTTGATCAAGTTTAACTTAGCCCTTTTTAAAAATGATTTGAGCATTTTACATTCTATTGAAGACATATTTACCTATCTCAAGGACACAAAGATTTACCTTCCTCATTTCTTTCAGTTTTTTAGTTTTAATACTTAGTAATAGAAATCCTTTTGGATTAAGAGTTGAATATAGTGTTGGTAAGGATCAATGTTCACTTCCCCATGTGAATATCCAGTTGTTGCAACGTTATTTTGGAAAAGGCATTTTATTCCCTCATTGAAAACCTTTATGCTTTTTTTTAAAGAAAATCACTTGGCCAGTTATGTTTGGATCTACTTTTGGACTCAGTTCTCTTACATTTATTTATATGTCTGTTTTTTTCTGCAATAATATATTTCTTGATTACTGTATATTTATAGTATGAAATCAGAACATTTAAGTTCTCCAATTTTTTCCTTCTTTTTAAAAATTGCTTTGGCTATTCCTATTCATTTGCATTTCCATAAAATTTTTAGAATCAGCTTGTTAACTTCTGCAAAAACATGCTGAGATTTTGGTTGGGATTGCATTGAAATTATAAATTTGGAGAAAACAGAATTCTTAACAATACAAACATAATTATATACGATTAGCAAAATCACAGTATGAATATTGTTATGATACAATTACCTAAGCCACAGATCTTATTCAAATTTTATCAATTTCTCTACTATTGTTCTCTTTCTGGACTTCCGATGCAATACAGGGTCATACATTGCAGTTAATTGTCTTGCCTCCTCAGTCTCTCTTATTCTGAAAGAAGCTCAGTCTGTCTTTGTCATTCACGTCCTTGACACATTTGAAGAGTATTGCCCAGTTATTTTGTAGACCACCTTCCAATTCTGGTTTGTCTGATGTTTCCTCATGATTAAATTCAGATTATTAATTTTCAGTAAGAAAACCTTAGAGGTGACATTGTACTCTTCTCAGTGTATCATATTAGGAGGTAGAAGTTGTCACTGTGTCTCATTATTGGTAATATTAACTCTATCACTGGGTAAGAGTGTGTCTCCCATCTTCTCCACTGTAAAGTTAACTCCTTCCTTTAAATTAATAGTTATGTTGTAGGGGATATCTTTCTTCAGATTAGATGTGTTTTATTAATACATTTTCAAATTTAGTGGCCCTTTTCTCTCTATGTCTTTGGAGCCTATCCAGTGGATTTTTTTTTTTGAAATTTTCAGTTCTAAAATTTCCAGTTTTCAGTATTTGCACAGATACCTTATGTTTTCATTCATTACAAGGCTAATTTTCTTTCTGTCACTGAGCGTATTTATTACTGCTTCTTCAAAATACTTGTCTGATAATTCCAACATCTGCTAACCTCAGGGTTGGCATCTGTTTGTAGTTTTTTTCCCTTGAGACTGGATCACATTTTTCTTGCTATTTATATGCGGATAATATTGGACTGGATCCTGGGCATTCCAAATGCTAGATTGTGGAGAATCTGGATTCTGTTAGATTGCTCCAAAAAGTGTTGATGCTTTTGTTTTAGCAGGCAATTAACTTGGTTAGACTCAAAGTGCAAACAGGCATGTGTGTGGTGGGCGGCCGCTTAGATCTCAGATCAGTTCCTTCAACCATAGCTATGAGCAGCTTTCTGTTTGCCCCATTCAATATGTGGTTCAGTGGTCAGCCAGAGACTCGGGCCAAGTTTTCACACAGAAATTGGGATACTGTTTCTTTGACTCCCTACTTTCTGATTCTCATCTCACTCTCTGGTAGCTCTGGTTGCTATGTATTCCCTGCCCTATTTCCTCAGCCAGTAAGCCAACGGGCTTTCTGTCAGCATTTGACTTGTTCCTACACCACTGTCACCATGACTGAGGCTGCCTCACGACAAAACTGTAGAAAAATGAGGAACTCAATCTGTCTAATGGCTTTGCCCAACTTTTGGCTCTTTTCTAATATCTACCAATCATATTCAATCTCTAGAACTCTCAGGTAGTTATGACTGTAACTTTTCTAGTGTATAGATTTTTTTTCCCCCAGGAGGATGGATTTGTTGGATAATCATTTCTCCATTAACATGAAGACTTAAGAGATGGATTGGATACAGGATTTTGAATGGTGAAAAGATACTGCCCAAAAAATTATAGTAGGTATCAAAAGTAAAGTACTTGAGAAGGAGACTTTTAGATAAAACTTCACTTATATAATACAGCAGACTCCTTTAGGTATCTCTTGACTTGTAATTAACCACTTAATTACTCCCACTTACTTCAGACCTCCTTATTCCCTGCTGTTAGCACCTACCAGCCATATTTATACAATGGCACTGAGAGTCCCTGGCCAGAGTTCACTGGGAAATAGCTGGACACCCCACCTGGTCTGGGCCAAGTCACTTCCTTGAGAATTAAGCAGGATCCCAGAAAGTCTATCTCTCCATTATGGCTTGACTTGTACCATATATTGTGTCTCTTTTTTTCCTGCCATTTTGTGAATTCAAGAAAAGAAAGCAGCATGCCAAAAAAACAGAGCGATGAAGTAAATGCACAGAGAGAAACAGAATCAAGAGACGATAAGAAAGTGGTCCCAGGGGCCAATAATCTTCTAATGCTCCTT